ACGCGTCTGTAAATCATAAACAGTCCGTCGACTACAACCTATCGTCCTTGCGACTTCAGCTACGGACGTTCCCGTCTGCAACATGCCGATGGCACGTTCACGTCGCACATTTGAAAGGCGTGGCATGACAAATGGCCGTAAAGACCTTTGTTTTTCTTTTTTTGTTAATGACTGCTAACAAGTATGGCTGAAAACACATGCGGTATTATGGCCACGTGACCAGTTGCACGTGAAAAAACACTTTTGTCACAAACGTGCTGTGCACATGATTTTGATCGATTCACCTGCACAAAAACGGATGTTATCTGAAGACAATACGTGGCCATTACTGTTTAAATACACAATAAAGGCCCACAATGATAACTGGTCAAAATGTTAAAATTTTAGAATTGTGAAGTTTTTAATTTGGTTCAGTATATTATTTAGTATAAATACTATCTTTCCTCATAAATCCTTTAATACAGCATGGCTACATCATAGGTTATATACTCGCAAAGAAAACGCAAAGCTATATTTGTGTAAGGTAGAAAAACACATTTATACGAGGAACCGTACAAGGTATTCAGCCAAAATGTTGTGGAGAGAACATTTGGTGATTGTAGCCATCTCAGTTATCGGTACATAGGAAAAGTCCAAGGTGAAGGTCAGATACCATCAATAACGCGTATGTCCCGCGTTAGAATCGATAGCAGCCTGACATCTTCTGCCCATGGAAGAAACGAGCATGCGAATCCCATCCTGGGGAATGGTAGCCCACTTGGCCTGCAACGCAAAAGGGGTTGTGGTTGACGTTGGCTTAGCTGTCTATCCAATTCATCGCACAGGTGCTCTTTAGGGTTCAAATCCAGGGATCTGGTGGGCCAGAGCTCCTGCGATCTGTGTTGTATGCGGTTGAGGGTTGTCCGGCTGGAATACACCGTTGCCGTTGGCTGCAAATGGGAGGACGTGTGGTAGGATAATGTCGTTGATGTTTCGTTGAGCCGCAAGACTGCCCTGGATATGGACCAAACCTAAGATACCCGCCCACATCAAAACGCTACCCCCACCAAGCCTGTCCACTTCCTGTACGCAGTCTCCGGCGTAACGTTCTCCCCGACGTCTGTAGACCCGTGCTCTTCCACCCCCCCCCCCCCCCCCCCCCCCCCGACGGAGGAGAATCTTGATTCGACGCTGAACCAGACATCTCTCAATCGCAATTTGAGGCCATACCCTGTGTTGACGACACCAATGCAGATGTTGGTAACGATGTTGTCGACTCAATATGACGTGTCGAACAGGACGTCTTGCTTGTAGACCTGCTGCTCTTAAACGGTTTTACATGGTCTGGTCGGAGATTCTGCGTAGTCCGGGTATTTGGGATGCGGTTGTGGTGGCTGTAGTCGTCCTTTCACGTAGGTGCCGCAGTCGGATGTAGCGTTCTTTGGCGAGGATAGTTAATCTTGGTCGTCCTGACCTAGGCCGATCACGTGTTGACCCATGCTGTTGAAACCGATCCCATAGCCGAGCCTTGTTATGGTGCTGGGCGCTACATTGAAAACTACAGCTGATTGGGATTCCCCCGATGCAAACGGCCTATGACGTTGTAACTTTGCAGTTCTGTTAATCTTTACATGTTGTTGAATTGTCACTGTTCGATTGACGTAGATGCCAGGCAATCAAAAACCCTGCACTTTAATACCGTTCATGGTGCTGCTGCGCGTGCAGTACGTGCAGCGCCATGACCCTGTTGATGTGTTGATGCACTGGGTGCGTTTTTCCGAATCGTTCGTGTTTCCCGAATAATGGTTTGCATGTCCTTTTTGTGATTATTTTGATCCGGGAATTTTTTCACTGACACTATAACACATTAAACCTCTTCATGTTGCACATATTGGTCCTCTAATTTTGCTTTATGGCCCAAAATATCCGTTTTGCGTTTCATTTTTTTAAGAGTATATTTATTTTGATACTGTTGTGGGTTACTTTCACAGGAACATGGTTCTTTCATAACCACAATTAATTGGGATGAAAACAACAACGCGATAACCACAAAGACATATTACCGTATTTACCGAATAAGGCTGAATAATTACTAAATACTCGATATTCGAATCATTCACAAAAAAGGCTATTGTGACTGACTGTCCTGGGACATTGTTATCAAGTACTGACTTTCCTATGACATTGTTACCAAGTACTGACCGTCCCATGATAGTGTTACCAAGTACTGACCGTCCTATGATATTGTTTTCAAGTACTGACCATCCTATGACATTGTTACCAAGTACTGACCGTCCTATGATATTGTTACCAAGTACTGAACGTCCTATGATATTGTTATCAAGTACTGACTGTCCTATAATATTGCTATCAAGTACCGACCGTCCTATGATATTGTTACCAAGTGCTGACCTTTAAATGATATTGTTATCAAGTACTGACTGTCCTTTGATATTCTTACCAAGTACTGACCGTTCTATGACATTGTTATCAAGTACTGACCGTCCTATGGCAGTGTTGCCAAGTACTGACCGTCCTGGGACATTGTAACCAAGTACCGGCCGTCCTATGATATTGTTATCAAGTATTGACTGTCCTATGATATTGTTATCAAGTCCTGACCGTCCTATGACATTGTTACCAAGTACTGACCGTCCTATGATATCGTTATCAAGTACTGACTATCCTATACTATTGTTACCAAGTACTGACCGTCCTATGATATTGTTACCAAGTACTGACTATCCTATAATATTGTTATCAAGTACTTACCGTCCTATGATATTGTTACCAAGTACTGACCGTTCTATGATATTGTTATCAAGTACTGACCGTCCTATGACATTGTCACCAAGTACTGACCGTTCTATGATATTGTTACCAAGTACTGATCTTTCTATGACATTGTTATCAAGTACTGACTGTCCTATGATATTGTCACCAAGCACTGACCGTTCTATGATATTGTTACCAAGTACTGATCTTTCTATAACATTGTTATCAAGTACTGACCGTCCTATGACAGTGTTGCCAAGTACTGACTGTCCTAAGCCATTGAACACCAGAAATCGTTGTCCAGAACGACTTATTCCAGACTGCATTGTACGTCGGACATTGTAGGCCTGGCAGGTTGTACATTGTAGGTCTTGCACGTCGGACATTGTAGGTCTGGCAGGTTGTACATTGTAGGTCTGGCACGTCGGACATTGTAGGTCTGGCAGGTTGTACATTGTAGGTCTGGCACGTCGGACATTGTAGGTCAGGCAGGTTGTACATTGTAGGTCTGGCACGTCGGACATTGTAGGCCTGGCAGGTTGTACATTGTAGGTCTGGCAGGTTGTACATTGTAGGTCTGGCAGGTTGTACATTGTAGGTCTGGCACGTCGGACATTGTAGGCCTGGCAGGTTGTACATTGTAGGTCTTGCAGGTTGTACATTGTAGGTCTTGCAGGTTGTACATTGTAGGTCTGGCAGGTTGTACATTGTAGGTCTTGCAGGTTGTACATTGTAGGTCTGGCAGGTTGTACATTATAGGTCTGGCACGTCGGACATTGTAGGCCTGGCAGGTTGTACATTGTAGGTCTGGCACGTCGGACATTGTAGGCCTGGCAGGTTGTACATTGTAGGTCTTGCACGTCGGACATTGTAGGTCTGGCACGTAAGACATTGTAGGCCTGGCAGGTTGTACATTGTAGGTCTGGCAGGTTGTACATTGTAGGCCTGGCAGGTTGTACATTGTAGGTCTGGCAGGTTGTACATTGTAGGTCTTGTACGTCGGACATTGTAGGTCTGGCAAGTCGGACATTGTAGGTCTGGCATTGTAGGTCTGGCAAGTCGGACACTGTAGGTCTGGCAAGTCGGACATTGTAGGTCTGGCAAGTCGGACATTGTATGTCAGGCAGGTCGGACATTGTAGGCCTGGCAGGTTGTACATTGTAGGTCTTGCACGTCGGACATTGTAGGTCTGGCAGGTTGTACATTGTAGATCTGGCAGGTCGGACATTGTAGGCCTGGCAGGTTGTACATTGTAGGCCTGGCAGGTTGTACATTGTAGGTCTGGCACGTCGGACATTGTAGGCCTGGCAGGTTGTACATTGTAGGTCTGGCAGGTTGTACATTGTAGGTCTGGCACGTCGGACATTGTAGGCCTGGCAGGTTGTACATTGTAGGTCTAGCAAGTCGGACATTGTAGGTCTGGCAGGTTGTACATTGTAGGTCTGGCAGGTAGTACATTGTAGGTCTGGCAGGTTGTACATTGTAGGTCTGGCAGGTTGTACATTGTAGGTCTGGCAGGTTGTACATTGTAGGCCTGGCAGGTTGTACATTGTAGGCCTGGCAGGTTGTACATTGTAGGTCTGGCAGGTTGTACATTGTAGGTTGTGGCAGGTTGTACATTGTAGGCCTGGCACGTCGGACATTGTAGGCCTGGCAGGTTGTACATTGTAGGTCTTGCACGTCGGACATTGTAGGTCAGGCAGGTTGTACATTGTAGGTCTGGCAAGTCGAACATTGTAGGTCTGGCACGTCGGACATTGTAGGTCTGGCACGTCGGACATTGTAGGTCTGGCATTGTAGGTCTGGCAAGTCGGACACTGTAGGTCTGGCAAGTCGGACATTGTAGGTCTGGCAAGTCGGACACTGTAGGTCTGGCAAGTCGGACATTGTAGGTCTGGCAAGTCGGACATTGTAGGTCTGGCAAGTCGGACATTGTAGGTCTGGCAAGTCGGACACTCTCGTTGAGGGAGAAGCTGCATTCTGCCATTGTGAAATTTGTGTACGACCACGAAAACATTAAACAGCTGCCGATTGGTGATCAATTTATTACAAAGTTATTGGTAACATGCAGTTCTCATCATCTTCAGATAGAAACCGGTCTCCTGTTCATGAAGCAATTGAATTCTGATGATCGCAGTTTTACTTCTTATTAATTAACAAAAACATAGCTAATTTAATGTTGATCATATGTTTTACTGTTCATTTAAGCAGAACGTGTTTAACTATATTCACTGCGTTCTTTTTTATAAAATAACGGATTTCTTAATCTTACAGCAAGGTGGGCTATTGGTTTTGCAGATGGGCCACATGTTGAACACCTGAAGGAGTCTGCAACCCGTTTATTGGATAAAATCAGAAAGCTGAAATCACGTGGCTCCCAGGCCGATGACCCCCGACATCCGGGCGAAAACCGCCTCCATTTGAATATTGGGAAGCTCGTACGTCTTGGTTGTGATTCGGCTGTGTGTGGTGACTGTAGGCGCGGCTGCTACGTCCAGACAGGGCTGATGGTCTGCAGAAGAAGTAACAACACATTCGGCAAACCAGCTGCAGTCGCATTGATATTCACTCGACAAGTGTAGGTTTGGACGACAAGTGAATGTACTTGGAGATACGAATACATGACAAGTGTAGGTTTGGACGACAAGTGAATCTACTGGGAGATACGAATACATGACAAGTGTAGGTTTGGACGACAAGTGAATATACTGGGAGATACGAATACATGACAAGTGTAGGTTTGGACAACAAGTGAATATACTGGGAGATACGAATACATGACAAGTGTAGGTTTGGACGACAAGTGAATATACTGGGAGATACGAATACATGACAAGTGTAGGTTTGGACAACAAGTGAATATACTGGGAGATACGAATACATGACAAGTGTAGGTTTGGACGACAAGTGAATATACTGGGAGATACGAATACATGACAAGTGTAGGTTTGGACGACAAGTGAATGTACTGGGAGATACGAATACATGACAAGTGTAGGTTTGGACGACAAGTGACTGTACTGGGAGATACGAATACATGACAAGTGTAGGTTTGGACAACAAGTGAATGTACTGGGAGATACGAGACGGCGGTACACGAGAGGACTGCTAGTTGTGATACTGGGACAGAGACAGTGGTACACGAGAGGACTGCTAGTTGTGATACTGGGACAGAGACAGTGGTACACGAGAGGACTGCTAGTTGTGGCACTGGGACAGAGACAGCGGTACACGAGAGGACTGCTAGTTGTGGCACTGGGACAGAGACAGTGGTACACGAGAGGACTGCTAGTTGTGGCACTGGGACAGAGACAGCGGTACACGAGAGGACTGCTAGTTGTGGCACTGGGACAGAGACAGTGGTACACGAGAGGACTGCTAGTTGTGGCACTGGGACCGAGACAGTGGTACACGAGAGGACTGCTAGTTGTGGCACTGGGACAGAGACAGTGGTACACGAGAGGACTGCTAGTTGTGGCACTGGGACAGAGACAGCGGTACACGAGAGGACTGCTAGTTGTGGCACTGGGACAGAGACAGTGGTACACGAGAGGACTGCTAGTTGTGGCACTGGGACAGAGACAGCGGTACACGAGAGGACTGCTAGTTGTGGCACTGGGACAGAGACAGTGGTACACGAGAGGACTGCTAGTTGTGGCACTGGGACAGAGACAGTGGTACACGAGAGGACTGCTAGTTGTGATACTGGGACAGAGACAGTGGTACACGAGAGGACTGCTAGTTGTGATACTGGGACAGAGACAGTGGTACACGAGAGGACTGCTAGTTGTGGCACTGGGACAGAGACAGCGGTACACGAGAGGACTGCTAGTTGTGGCACTGGGACAGAGACAGCGGTACACGAGAGGACTGCTAGTTGCGATACTGGGACAGAGACAGCGGTACACGAGAGGACTGCTAGTTGTCTACACCCGCCATGACGGACTGTTTACCATGTACGCAAAAGGGTTTTAAGCGGTCAGCTGTAGCGTCACGTGTCCTATTTAGAGGTGGGCCTAATCATCAGTGTGCCTTTGTGAACATAACTGGGAACATTGTACACAAATATATTCAGATCCTAAACACAAACCTGAATCCATGCTTGGTCCTATTGTAAAACGTTATAAACTTGTAGCTATCTGAAGATGTTTACACTTGTGGACATGTCAGGATATAAACCTGTTGAAGAATAAACCTTCAAGTTGCTGTTTAGAGAGGCACTTATTAAAACTGACATGTTTTATTTTGGAAACCTTGGAGTTAATGCTGCCCCGTTGTACTGCCTCTGTTCCACAGATAACCAACTCTACCAGGTAACTCTGGGCAACACTGCCACACATGCCCGTCGTCATGAACATGCGTTAATGTTATGAATACGTTTAGTTTATCAACAAGTTTATACCTTAGCTGTAATAATGGCACAACATTTTCGCACACCAATGTGTGTTTGTTGTTTAACGGCTCACTCAGCACTATTCCAGCTATATGACGGCGATCTGTATATGAACGAGTCTGGACCAGACAATCCAGTCATTGACATCATGATTATCGATCTACGCATTTTGGATACGATGACATGCATCAACCAAGTCAGCGAGCCTGACCACCCGATCCCGTTCGTCGCCTCTTACGACAAGCACGGGTAGCTGCAGGGGTGTTCTCGCCCGGATCGTCATTGTTCTCACACCAATGCATCACAACTGTGCAGAGTACGTCTGCGATAGCATGTTGCTCACACAGTTATCATGTCCTGTTCTTCTTTGCTTGGAACGTATGCCTAAAAAGGTCCCTTTAATGCCGAGATATTCCACTGCGTTTGCAACTTTTTCAGGAGGTTTTCCGCCCTGCGCGACTTCCCTGCTGGTGGAGTTCTGTATGAGGACAACCAGCGTAGCCAGCAGTTTAAACCCAGAAGTATATCATGCACAATAACATTGCTTTCATTCGCTTACTGTACATCGTCTAGTTACTTACTCGTCATAGTGAGCAGATCGCCGGTCAATCCCTAACGTCACGCCCCTGCTCACTGTCGGCACGCCGCCATTGCTTGTCATCTCCATGTTATCATCCGCCTTACGAGACCTGCAGTACAGAAACACCCCGTACAGAGTCTACAGTGGCTGCAGATAGAAGGACGTGTGTCAGTACAGAAATACCCGTACAGAGCCTATAGTGGCTGCAGATAGAAGGACGTGTGTCCGTACAGAAATACCCGCACAGAGTCTATAGTGGCTGCAGATAGAAGGACGTGTGTCAGTACAGAAATACACCATACAGAGTCTATAGTGGCTGCAGATAGAAGGAAGTGTGTCAGTACAGAAACACCCCGTACAGAGTCTATAGTTGCTGCAGATAGAAGGACGTGTGTCAGTACAGAAATACCCGTACAGAGTCTACCGTGGCTACAGATAGAAGGACGTGTGTCGGTACAGAAACACCCCGTACAGAGTCTATAGTGTCTGCAGATAGAAGGACGTGTGTCAGTACAGAAATACACCGTACAGAGTCTATAGTGGCTGCAGATAGAAGGACGTGTGTCAGTACAGAAACACCCCGTACAGAGTCTACAGTGGCTGCAGATAGAAGGACGTGTGTCAGTACAGAAACACCCCGTACAGATTCTATAGTGGCTGCAGATAGAAGGACGTGCGTCAGTACAGAAATACCCCGTACAGAGTCTATAGTGGCTACAGATAGAAGGACGTGTGTCAGTACAGAAATACACCATACAGAGTCTATAGTGTCTGCAGAGAGAAGGACGTGTGTCAGTACAGAAATACCCCGTACAGAGTCTATAGTGGCTACAGATAGAAGGACGTGTGTCAGTACAGAAATATCCCGTACAGAGTCTATAGTGTCTGCAGATAGAAGGACGTGTGTCAGTACAGAAATACACCATACAGAGTCTATAGTTGCTGCAGATAGAAGGACGTGTGTCAGTACAGAAATACCCCGTACAGAGTCTATAGTTGCTGCAGATAGAAGGACGTGTGTCAGTACAGAAACACCCCGTACAGAGTCTATAGTGGCTGCAGATAGAAGGACGTGTGTCAGTACAGAAATACACCATACAGAGTCTACAGTGGCTGCAGATAGAAGGACGTGTGTCAGTACAGAAATACCCCGTACAGAGTCTATAGTGGCTGCAGATAGAAGGACGTGTGTCAGTACAGAAACACCCCGTACAGAGTCTACAGTGGCTGCAGATAGAAGGACGTGTGTCAGTACAGAAACACCCCGTACAGAGTCTACAGTTGCTGCAGATAGAAGGACGTGTGTCAGTACAGAAATACCCCGTACAGAGTCTATAGTTGCTGCAGATAGAAGGACGTGTGTCAGTACAGAAACACCCCGTACAGAGTCTATAGTTGCTGCAGATAGAAGGACGTGTGTCAGTACAGAAACACCCCGTACAGAGTCTACAGTGGCTGCAGATAGAAGGACGTGTGTCAGTACAGAAACACCCCGTACAGAGTCTACAGTGGCTGCAGATAGAAGGACGGTCTGCAGTACAGAAATACCCCGTACAGAGTCTATAGTTGCTGCAGATAGAAGGACGTGTGTCAGTACAGAAACACCCCGTACAGAGTCTATAGTGGCTGCAGATAGAAGGACGTGTGTCAGTACAGAAATACCCCGTACAGAGTCTATAGTGGCTGCAGATAGAAGGACGTGTGTCAGTACAGAAATACACCGTACAGAGTCTATAGTGTCTGCAGATAGAAGGACGTGTGTCTGTACAGAAATACACCATACAGAGTCTACAGTGGCTGCAGATAGAAGGACGTGTGACGGTACAGAAATAGTCAGTCTTTTGTTCTTAAATTAATAAGTTACCATTAGGTAGAAAAATGATTGCCACTGTCATGCGCCCGTCGGATGTGAGATGTGGTTCAAGAATGTCAATTTCAACTTTGGGCACCGAAGCCGATGGAAATATTTTAAGTCAGACTTCCTTTTGTCAGTAAAGTCACCCAAGACTCGCATCTTATCGAGATCCGGATGATAGAACGGTACACTATTTGTAACGACACACACCCATCTCTCGTGAAAGATCATGTTCGAGTTACGTCACGGCCATGCATATAAGAGAACATGACAAAACACAACGTTTTCATATTACCTGACCAATATGTCTACCTGCAAAATGAATTTTAGTTTACATTTCCAGGGATTTACCTGGCATACACATGAAATATGTGGCACTGACTTTGGAATAGTTTCAAATGTTGGTCAATGCAATATACCATGTTTCATAACGGTATTGCGCACAGAGTAAATGCAGCTCATTGGCCAAAGAAAGAACCGCGTCTTGCATGATGCAATTATGAGACACATTCCTTTCTAAAGTGTACTGGCATAACTTTGTTATGCTTTGTTTTGTTTTTAACGCCGCACTGAGCAATATTCCAGCTATATGGCTGGGGTTTGTAAATAATTAACTCTGGATCAGACAATCCAGTAAACTGACATCATGACCATCGACCTATGCAATTGGGATACGATGGCATGCATCAACCAAGTCACATGCCAGACCACTCGATTCCGTTAGTCTCCTCTTACGCCAAGCTTACAGTTGCAAGTTTGTTTTATTATTTAACGCCGCACTCAGCAAGTTGCCAGCTATATGATGGCCATCTTGCCGAGGAAAGCGTATCCACTAGCCTGTATCAAAGCCTAGTTCTTGCCTCGGTCTGTAATAACTGAGTGTTTGACATCGCGAGCATTGGGATACGATGCCACGCATCAACCTAGTCAGCCAGCCTGACCACCTGATCACATTAGTCGCCTCTTACGACAAGCATGTGTTTGTGAAGACCAATTTTAACCCTGATCTTTACGGGGACAACATCAAGTCTGTGGGTATATGTTGGGTGTTGTCTCTGTGATTAGGGCCATGGGGGGTACAACCGTGCAGAGTTACGTTCCTTAGGCGTGCCAGTATCCAAAGATCGTGGGGTCGAATAAAAAAAACGCCCTCATAACGTATTGTAGATGTGTCAGGCCCCATGCACGTGCTCCTGGGTTTCCCCAAAGTGGTTAACGGCTACGATCTGCAGAACAGCGGGCTTAAACCCAACTCACTAACACACTGGGTTTTTGGACACTGTAAGAGGGACGGGTTGACATATGGTCATGTCACGTGACTTACTTCCGTTGACCCTTGCCGCGGCTCCGGCGGTAGCAGATGACCTTGACGATTATAAAGGTGGCGGCTAGCACTCCCCCCACAGCCGCACAGATAGTCATGATTGTGTTGGTGACCTTCCGCTCACGGTAGATCAGCGCTGAAAGCGGAAGCGTTGTAATGAACAACCTGAAATCGGATTCTGTGAAAATTGGCTGTACAAAAACCTTAAAAACACTTATTCTGGCATATATAGATAAGTTGTGTGTCAAGTTTGTACACTGAATAAATTGCTGAACTGAAACACAAAAAGAAATATGCATCACTTCCCAGTCGCCTACACCGAAGCATTCTGCCTCACAATTTTATGTACTATTAATAAAGATACTGCGTTTAGTTGCTTTCGCAATTGTAATTTTGCAAAGAGCATCGTGTTGTGATTATGCCAGGTCTTTAGTGTGGTCTTTAGTCATTCTACGATGCACCTGCTATTGGTGTGAGACAGTAGTGTGTGTATGTCTGCTAATAGAGCCACGTACGGACACACGTCGTATTGGATTGAGACAGTAATGTGTGTATGTCTGCCTAAAGAGCCACGTACGGACACACGTCGTATTGGGTGTGAGACAGTAGTGTGTGTATGTCTGCTTATAGAGCCACGTACGGACACACGTCGTATTGGGTGTGAGACAGTAGTTTGTGTGTGTCTGCCTATAGAGCCACGTACGGACACACGTCGTATTGGGTGTGAGACAGTAGTTTGTGTGTGTCTGCTTATAGAGCCACGTACGGACACACGTCGTATTGGATTGAGACAGTAGTGTGTGTATGTCTGCTAATAGAGCCACGTACGGACACACGTCGTATTGGATTGAGACAGTAGTGTGTGTATGTAGCCTATAGAGCCACGTACGGACACACGTCGTATTGGGTGTGAGACAGTAGTGTGTGTATGTAGCCTATAGAGCCACGTACGGACACACGTCGTATTGGGTGTGAGACAGTAGTGTGTGTATGTCTGCTTATAAAGCCACGTACGGACACACGTCGTATTGGGTGTGAGACAGTAGTCTGTGTATGTCTGCCTATAGAGCCACGTACGGACACACTTCGTATTGGGAAGGACCCATTGGCCGTTTTCACATTTGGCACCCTCATCGTCTAGTGGGACGAACGCCTCGGAGACACACTTCACTGGCAGAGACATGGACAGCTGCGTGTAGGAGGCCGGGTCCATCATCAGGTTCCGCTGGGTGAGTTTAGTCACGACAATTGGGGTAACCGGACGGGGACAGTCTGAAACAAAATGTGCCACAAAACAGATGTCTCGCACTACAACCGTGACCCCTACACGTTATTGATACTGTCGTCTCTCTCACACTACAACCGTGACCCTTACATGTTATTGCTACTGTCGTCTCTCTCACACTACAACCGTGACCCCTACACGTTATTGATACTGTCGTCTATCTCGCACTACAACCGTGACCCCTACACGTTATTGATACTGCCGTCTATCTCGCGCTACAACCGTGACCCTTACATGTTATTGCTACTGTCGTCTCTCTCACACTACAACCGTGACTTCTACATGTTATTGATACTGTTGTCTCTCTCGCACTACAACCGTGACCCCTACACGTTATTGATACTGTCGTCTATCTCGCACTACAACCGTGACCCCTACACGTTATTGATACTGCCGTCTATCTCGCGCTACAACCGTGACCCTTACATGTTATTGCTACTGTCGTCTCTCTCACACTACAACCGTTACTTCTACACGTTATTGATACTGTTGTCTCTCTCACACTACAACCGTGACCCCTACACGTTATTGATACTGTCGTCTCTCTCACACTACAACCGTGACCCCTACACGTTATTGATACTGTCGTCTCTCTCACACTACAACCGTGACCTCTACACGTTATTGCTACTGTCGTCTCTCTCACACTACAACCGTGACCCCTACACGTTATTGATACTGCCGTCTCTCTCACACTACAACCGTGACCCCTACATGTTATTGCTACTATCGTCTCTCTCACGCTACAACCGTGACCCCTACATGTTATTACTACTGTCGTCTCTCTCACACTACAACCGTGACCCTTACATGTTATTGCTACTATCGTCTCTCTCACACTACAACCGTGACCTCTACACGTTATTGCTGCTGTCGTCTCTCTCACACTACAACCGTGACCCCTACATGTTATTGCTACTGCCGTCTCTCTCACACTACAACCGTGACCCTTACATGTTATTACTGTTGTCGTCTCTCTCACACTACAACCGTGACCCCTACACGTTATTGCTACTGCCGTCTCTCTCACACTACAACCGTGACCCTTACATGTTATTACTGCTGTCGTCTCTCTCACACTACAACCGTGACCCCTACACGTTATTGCTACTGCCGTCTCTCTCACACTACAACCGTGACCCTTACATGTTATTACTGCTGTCGTCTCTCTCACACTACAACCGTGACCCCTACATGTTATTGCTACTGTCGTATCTCTCACACTACAACCGTGACCCTTACATGTTATTGCTACTATCGTCTCTCTCACACTACAACCGTGACCCTTACATGTTATTACTGCTGTCGTCTCTCTCACACTACAACCGTGACCCCTACACGTTATTGCTACTGTCGTCTCTCTCACACTACAACCGTGACCCTTACATGTTATTACTGCTGTCGTCTCTCTCACACTACAACCGTGACCCCTACATGTTATTGCTACTGTCGTCTCTCTCACACTACAACCGTGACCCCTACACGTTATTGCTACTGTCGTCTCTCTCACACTACAACCGTGACCCCTACATGTTATTGCTACTATCGTCTCTCTCACACTACAACCGTGACCCTTACATGTTATTACTGCTGTCGTATCTCTCACACTACAACCGTGACCCTTACATGTTATTGCTACTATCGTCTCTCTCACACTACAACCGTGACCCCTACACGTTATTGCTACTGTCGTCTCTCTCACACTACAACCGTGACCCCTACATGTTATTGCTACTATCGTCTCTCTCACACTACAACCGTGACCCTTACATGTTATTACTGCTGTCGTCTCTCTCACACTACAACCGTGACCCTTACATGTTATTGCTACTGTCGTATCTCTCACACTACAACCGTGACCCTTACATGTTATTGCTACTATCGTCTCTCTCACACTACAACCGTGACCCTTACATGTTATTACTGCTGTCGTCTCTCTCACACTACAACCGTGACCCTTACATGTTATTGCTACTGTCGTCTCTCTCACACTACAACCGTGACCCCTACACGTTATTGATACTGCCGTCTCTCTCACACTACAACCGTGACCCCTACATGTTATTGCTGCTGTCGTCTCTCTCACACTACAACCGTGACCCCTACATGTTATTGCTACTGTCGTCTCTCTCACACTACAACCGTGACCCCTACACGTTATTGATACTGCCGTCTCTCTCACACTACAACCGTGACCCCTACACGTTATTGATACTGCCGTCTCTCTCACACTACAACCGTGACCCCTACACGTTATTGCTGCTGTCGTCTCTATCACCCTACAACCGTGACCCCTACATGTTATTGCTACTGTCGTCTCTCTCACACTACAACCGTGACCTCTACACGTTATTGCTACTATCGTCTCTCTCACACTACAACCGTGACCCCTACACGTTATTGCTACTGTCGTCTCTCTCACACTACAACCGTGACCCCTACACGTTATTGCTACTGTCGTCTCTCTCACACTACAACCGTGACCCCTACATGTTATTGCTACTATCGTCTCTCTCACACTACAACCGTGACCCTTACATGTTATTGCTACTATCGTCTCTCTCACACTACAACCTTGACCCCTACACGTTATTGCTGCTGTCGTCTCTCTCACACTACAACCGTGACCCCTACATGTTATTGCTACTATCGTCTCTCTCACACTACAACCGTGACCCCTACACGTTATTGCTACTGTCGTCTCTCTCACACTATAACCGTGACCCCTACACGTTATTCATACTGCCCTCTCTCTCACACTATAACCGTGACCCTTACATGTTATTGCTACTGTCGTCCCTCTCACAGTACAACCGTGACCCCTACATGTTATTGCTACTGTCGTATCTCTCACACTACAACCGTGACCCCTACACGTTATTGCTGCTGTCGTCTCTCTCACACTACAACCGTGACCCCTACACGTTATTGCTGCTGTCGTCTCTCTCACACTACAACCGTGACCCCTACACGTTATTGCTACTATCGTCTCTCTCACACTACAACCGTGACCCTTACATGTTATTACTTCTGTCGTCTCTCTCACACTACAACCGTGACCTCTACACGTTATTGCTGCTGTCGTCTCTCTCACACTACAACCGTGACCCCTACACGTTATTGCTGCTGTCGTCTCTCTCACACTACAACCGTGACCCCTACACGTTATTGCTGCTGTCGTCTCTCTCACACTACAACCGTGACCCCTACACGTTATTGCTGCTGTCGTCTCTCTCACACTACAACCGTGACCCCTACACGTTATTGCTACTATCGTCTCTCTCACACTACAACCGTGACCCTTACATGTTATTACTTCTGTCGTCTCTCTCACACTACAACCGTGACCTCTACACGTTATTGCTGCTGTCGTCTCTCTCACACTACAACCGTGACCCCTACACGTTATTGCTGCTGTCGTCTCTCTCACACTACAACCGTGACCCCTACATGTTATTGCTACTATCGTCTCTCTCACACTACAACCGTGACCCCTACACGTTATTGCTACTGTCGTCTCTCTCACACTACAACCGTGACCCCTACATGTTATTGCTACTATCGTCTCTCTCACACTACAACCGTGACCCCTACACGTTATTGCTACTGTCGTCTCTCTCACACTACAACCGTGACCCTTACATGTTATTGCTACTATCGTCTCTCTCACACTACAACCGTGACCCTTACATGTTATTGCTACTGTCGTCTATCTCACACTACAACCGTGACCCCTACACGTTATTGCTACTGTCGTCTATCTAACACTACAACCGTGACCCCTACATGTTATTGCTGCTGTCGGCTCTCTCACACTACAACCGTGACCCCTACATGTTATTACTACTGTCGTCTCTCTCACACTACAACCGTGACCCCTATATAATATTCCTGTTGTCGTCTCTCTCACACTACAACCGTGACCCCTACACGCTATAGCTACTGTCGTCTCTCTCACACTACAACCGTGACCGCTACACGTTATTGCTACTCTCATCTCTCTCACACTACAACCGTGACCCCTACACGTTATTGCTGCTGTCGTCTCTCTCACACTACAACCGTGACCCCTACATGTTATTGCTGCTGTCGTCTCTCTCACACTACAACCGTGACCCCTACACGTTATTGCTGCTGTCGGCTCTCTCACACTACAACCGTGACCCTTACATGTTGTTACTACTGTCGTCTCTCTTACATCACAACCGTGACCCCTACATGTTATTGCTGCTGTCGGCTCTCTCACACTACAACCGTAGTCACATTTCAACCTTGTCCCCTACATGGAATGGCTGTTCTTATTTCTCTGACCACAATTTAACAATATCATTCTTGTCAGTAAACTTTCTGGGTGTGGCAGCTTCTTTCCAGGTGTATAATAAAACCCGATAGCCAGTAGTGTGACAGCCTCGGCTCGTTCACTCACATTGTAATAGCTGAAATGACGTCATGTTCTACTCACGTGTTGATTGGACGCCATTGCTGGTACAACACACTACGGCGACGATCAAAGGGAGGTAACACGAAATGGGAAGCTCACCAGACAGTCCCATTATTGGAAGAGCTCATGAACTGCGGATATAGTGATAACAACACACACTGTCAACAACCCTGTCACAATCACAGAGTGAATATGTCATTATTAACTTACAAGCCTACTGTCGTGTGCGAAATAATAAGCTGCACTTCATTTTTGCTCATTTTTTTTAATTTCCCATACCGTTTTTAACAATACCATTATTTGAAGATTAACTGATGGTGTTACATGATTATATTAACCGTCTGATGAAGTAAATGTGATAGATCATGAAATAGCAACAGCAAATACATTTCTAATACATGTCCGTGCATAACATAACCAAGTGTCGAAAAACATACTTACCCCTTGGGGCTAGGTGAGATGAGACTGACTGTGGAGACATTGAGTGTGGAGACATTGAGGGTGGAGAAATTGAGGGTGGAGAGACTGGGGATGGAGACATTGAGGGTGGAGACATTGAGTATGGAGACATTGAGCCTGGAGACATTGAGTGTGAAGACATTGAGGGTGGAGACATTGAGTGTGGAGACATTGAGGGTGGAGACATTGAGTATGGAGACATTGAGCCTGGAGACATTGAGTGTGAAGACATTGAGGGTGGAGGAGACATTGAGTATGGAGACATTGAGCCTGGAGACATTGAGGGTGAAGACATTGAGTATGGAGACATTGAGGGTGGAGACATTGAGTGTGGAGACATTGAGGGTGGAGACATTGAGTATGGAGACATTGAGCCTGGAGACATTGAGTGTGAAGACATTGAGGGTGGAGGAGACATTGAGTATGGAGACATTGAGCCTGGAGACATTGAGGGTGAAGACATTGAGTATGGAGACATTGATCCTGGGGACATTGAGTGTGGAGACATTGAGTGTGAAGACATTGAGGGTGGAGACATTGAGCCTGGGGACATTGAGTGTGGAGACACTGAGGGTGGAGGAGACATTGAGTATGGAGACATTGAGTGTGGAGACATTGAGGGTGAAGACATTGAGGGTGGAGACATTGAGTGTGAAGACATTGAGGGTGGAGACATTGAGTGTGAAAACATTGAGTGTGAAGACATTGAGTGTGAAGACATTGAGTGTGGAGACATTGAGTATGGAGACATTGAGCCTGGAGACATTGAGTGTGAAGACATTGAGGGTGGAGACATTGAGTGTGAAGACATTGAGTGTGGAGACATTGAGTGTGAAGACATATAGTGTGAAGACATTGAGTGTGAAGACATTGAGTGTGGAGACATTGAGTGTGGAGACATTGAGTGTGAAGACATTGAGTGTGAAGACATTGAGTGTGGAGACATTGAGTGTGAAGACATTGAGTGTGGAGACATTGAGTGTGAAGACATTGAGTGTGGAGACATTGAGGGTGAAGACATTGAGTATGGCGACATTGAGCCTGGGGACATTGAGTATGGCGACATTGAGCCTGGGGACATTGAGTGTGGAGACATTGAGGGTGGAGGAGAAATTGAGTATGGAGACATTGAGCCTGGAGACATTGAGGGTAGAGACATTGAGTATGGAGACATTGAGTGTGGAGACATTGAGTATGGAGACCTTGAGCCTGGAGACATTGAGTGTGAAGACATTGAGGGTGGAGACATTGAGTATGGAGACATTGAGTGTGGAGACATTGAGTGTGAAGACATTGAGGGTGGAGACATTGAGTATGGAGACATTGAGCCTGGAGACATTGAGTGTGAAGACATTGAGTGTGAAGACATTGAGGGTGGAGACATTGAGTGTGAAGACATTGAGTGTGGAGACATTGAGCCTGGAGACATTGAGTGTGAAGACATTGAGGGTGGAGACATTGAGTATGGAGACATTGAGTGTGGAGACATTGAGTGTGAAGACATTGAGGGTGGAGACATTGAGTATGGAGACATTAAACCTGGAGACATTGAGTGTGAAGACATTGAGTGTGAAGACATTGAGGGTGGAGACATTGAGTGTGAAGACATTGAGTGTGGAGACATTGAGTGTGAAGACATTGAGTGTGGGTACATTGAGTGTGAAGACATTGAGTGTGGAGACATTGAGTGTGGAGACATTGAGTGTGAAGACATTGAGTGTGGAGACATTGAGTGTGAAGACATTGAGTGTGAAGACATTGAGGGTGGAGACATTGAGTGTGAAGACATTGAGGGTGGAGACATTGAGTGTGAAGACATTGAGTGTGAAGACATTAAGTGTGAAGACATTGAGTGTGGAGACATTGAGTGTGGAGACATTGAGTGTGGAGACATCGAGGGTGGAGACATTGAGTATGGAGACATTGAGCCTGGAGACATTGAGTGTGAAGACATTGAATGTGAAGACATTGAGGGTGGAGACATTGAGTGTGAAGACATTGAGTGTGGAGACATTGAGTGTGAAGACATTGAGTGTGGAGACATTGAGTGTGAAGACACTGAGTGTGGAGACATTGAGTGTGGAGACATTGAGTGTGAAGACATTGAGTGTGGAGACATTGAGTGTGAAGACATTGAGTGTGAAGACATTGAGGGTGGAGACATTGAGTGTGAAGACATTGAGGGTGGAGACATTGAGTGTGAAGACATTGAGTGTGAAGACATTAAGTGTGAAGACATTGAGTGTGGAGACATTGAGTGTGGAGACATTGAGTGTGAAGACATTGAGTGTGAAGACATTGAGTTTGGAGACATTGAGTGTGAAGACATTGAGTGTGGAGACATTGAGTGTGGAGACATTGAGTGTGAAGACATTGAGTGTGAAGACATTGAGTGTGGAGACATTGAGTGTGGAGACATTGAGGGTGGAGAGATTGAGTGTGGAGTCATTGAGGGTGGAGACATTGAGTGTGAATACATTGAGGGTGGAGACATTGAGGGTGGAGACATTGAGTGTGGAGACATTGAGTGTGGAGACATCCAGTGTGGAGACATCGAGGGTGGAGACATTGAGGGTGGAGACATTGAGTGTGAAGACATTGAGGGTGGAGACATTGAGGGTGGAGACATTGAGGGTGGAGACATTGAGTGTGAAGAAATTGAGGGTGGAGACATTGAGGGTGGAGACATTGAGAGTGGAGACATTGAGGGTGGAGACATTGAGGGTGGAGAGACTGGGTGTGGAGACATCGAGGGTGGAGACATTGAGGGTGGAGACATTGAGTGTGAAGACATTGAGGGTGGAGACATTGAGGGTGGAGACATTGAGGGTGGAGACATTGAGTGTGAAGAAATTGAGGGTGGAGACATTGAGGGTGGAGACATTGAGAGTGGAGACATTGAGGGTGGAGACATTGAGGGTGGAGAGACTGGGTGTGAAGACATTGAGTGTGGAGACATTGAGGGTGGAGACATTGAGGGTGGAGAGAATGAGTGTGGAGACATTAAGGGTGGAGACATTGAGTGTGAAGACATTGAGGGTGGAGACATTGAGGGTGGAGACATTGAGGGCGGAGACATTGAGTGTGGAGGAGACATTGAGTGTGGAGACATCGAGTGTGGAGATATCGAGGGTGGAGTCATTGAGGGTGGAGGAGACATTGAGGGCGGAGACATTGAGGGTGGAGACATTGAGGGTGAAGAGACTAGGTATGGAGACATTGTTAGTGGGGATATTGAGAGTGGAGACATCGAGGGTGGAGACATCGAGGGCGGAGAGACTGTTGAAGGAGAGGCTGAGGGTGGGGAGACTGAGGTTGGCGAGATTGAAGGCGTTTAGACAGAGTGTGGTGAGACTGAGGGTGGTGAGACTGAGGTCGAGGAGACTGAGGGTGCTGATCCTGAGGTTGGCGAGATTGAAGGCAGTTAGACAGAGTGTGGTGAGACCGAGGGTGGAAACATTGAGGAAGGTGACTGTGAGGGCAGAGAGACAGTGGTAAGTTTACATATTGCATGTGTGGCTATTGTACTACTTACTCTGCTATACGTACATTGCAGTTCTCTCAACTTCCTGATTCTAACAACCAACATGCACGGTGTCCTATTCAACGAGATAACACGACTGTCATACCGTAAGACATCCACAACGCTGTCCCTGAACAGTAGTGCTCAAATGTCATCATGCTGTATGTTTGGGGGTGGTTTTGTTCCCAATGTCTGTTAAATGTCAGTCGTAAAGTGTCTTTAACTGGGAACTCCGACCTCAGAGACAACACACAACACCACACACACACACATACACACACACAGACACACCGATACAATGGATGGAGATATGTATGTGTGTGTGTGTGTGTGTGTGTGTGTGTGTGTGTGTGTGTGTGTGTGTGTGTGTGTGTGTGTGTGTGTGTGTGTGTGTGTGTGTGTGTGTGTGTGTGTGTGTGTTGTGTGTGTGTTGTGTGTGTGTCTGTTGTGTGGTGCGTGTACGTGTGTGCGGGTGCGTGAGCTCGTGTGTGTGTCTGTGTGTGCCTGCATGCGTGTGTGTGTCTGGGTGTGTGTGTGTTCGCGTGTGCTCGCGTGCTGTGTGTGTGTTTGTGTGCATGTGCGCGCGTGCATGTGTGTCCTTGCTGTGTGTGAGAATGCGGTATTGTGTGCGTGCGTGAGTGTGAGCGTCTACACATGGATCCTTAGTTTGCTCTGCAGAGAAAAGTCATCTACAGTATGACATTGACACTTAATGTTATTTCCAGAATATAGACCCAGAATAAAGCTAGTAATGATGTAATCCAATCTAATTAAAATCAGATCTTAGTTCTCGCTACCGCTAAACAAAGATCTGAGGACATCCCATTACGGGTCACGTCAGAACGACCTTGCGTGAACTTTGACCGACCAATGGAATGACCAATCAGAAGGCAGCTTTCTCGTGCTTTACGGCACTAATTTCAAACTGGCGACTACGCTTCGAAACATATTTTAACAAATTCTCGATTACAAATTTGAAACCCGAACAAAAGAACATGCGGTATGGCTAATAGATGGTCTAGATTGTATGGATTCAGTCGTTAAACCCGTAACTATCGTTCGGAATATCCCGTGTTAATGTTTTCGAGGTTGTATGATTAGAAATCACATTCCGACTGTCACTTTCATGATCTGGTAAGTGACGCTCTGATTGGTCGGATCAAAGGTCGTTCTGACGTGACCCCTAATGGGATGTCTTCAGATCTTTGTTTAGCGGTAGCGAGAACTGAGGTCTTATTTTAATGAGATTGCGATGTAATCCAACGACGAACAGCTAGGAGGTTTGTTTTCAACACGGAAGGTTCAGACAAATGTAATACAAACATATGGTTGAAATGTACAAATATGACGGATCATCAGTGCCTCTGAACTAGCGGCAGGTTTGTGACACAAGATGTCACTAACTACTTGGCTGTAATTAATTTCTGTATGAAACTTCATCCTGACTTTGAGATAGTTTACACTTCTGGCGTTATCTGCTTTTTAGAGATACTCTAAGCCAGGCTGACAGCCGTGTTACTCGTTATCAGTGTCGTCAGGGTGAGCTGGGTAGGTGTGGCCGGCCCCAGGCTGTCCGTGTCCGCCCGGGGGTGGTGCCCCGGGTGGTCTAGCATGGGTGTGGAAGGTGTGCGAGCCGTGTCACTGTTGAACCGGCCAGAGTCGTACGCCACACATAAATATATAGAATGTCACAGAAACAAATATATATTGTGTAACGAAGGACGCACAATTATAGTAATTGTACCAAATTCATGACAAATATACAGTTTATGTAATTAAAGAAATTATCAAATCTTACAGTTCAGTACACAACATCATTTCACCACTTTACAGGACCCTCATACTTCCTGTAAGGACCCTTGACATTATTCATTGGGGGTCCTCGGGAACTCTAGTTTTGTAGGTCAAGGTTAAACCCTGAGTTGAACCTTCAGATGAGCCAGGCCTTCGTTTTCCTCTTACCTTCGGTTCTGGCTGGCACTCACACCGCCACAGACAGATATCACACAGTATAGTGGACGGTACAGATATCACACAGTATAGTGGACGGTACAGATATCACACAGTATAGTGGACGGTACAGATATCACACAGTATAGTGGACGGTACAGATGTCACACAATATAGTGGACGGTACAGATGTCACACAATATAGTGGACGGTACAGATGTCACACAATATAGTGGACGGTACAGATGTCACACATATCTAACGGGACTAACGGGATCGGGTGGTCAGGCTCGCTGACTTGGTTGACGCATGTCATCGTATCCCAATTGCGTGGATCGATGCTCATGATGTCAATCACTGGAATGTCTGGACTCGATTATTTACATACCGCCTCCATAAAGCTGGAATATTGCTGAGTAAGGCGTTAGACAACAAACAAACAAACGAACAACCACTATTATGGACGGTGAGGTGAGGTGAAATGCCGTTTAACGTCGCGTCCAAGATTATTGCAGATTGTTCGTCTGCTAATGGGGTGTCACGTATCGGTTCCGCAGGTGGATTGTCCGGATGTAGAGGTGATCAACTGGCGTTGTGACCCTTGGTCTTCCCGATCTTGGACGATCTTGTGTCTGACCTTTTTGGTGAGTTGAAATGGGGCTTAACGTCGCGGCCAAGATTATTGCACTTACATAGCGACGTGCATGTACGCGTATGTGTGTGTGGCTGCTTGTACTAGTCCGGACTGATGCCGATTTATAGTGCTAGCACACTGAGATACCATGCCGCAGTTTAACATGAATACCCCACTCAGACACAGTATACTGACTCCGAGCCGACCAGTCCTTGTTTAAGCCCCTTAATGCCGAGCGCCAGACAGGGTAACAACAAGTACCATGTTTTAACGTCTTTTGGTATGACGCGGCTGGGGATCGAACCCCAGACCTCTACCATTAGACCACGGAGGCGGCATTATGGACGGTAGTGATAACCCATAATATAATGGGCGGCATAGATATCACACAATATGATAGACACAACATAAACCCCGCTGTTTCGGACACTATTTAAATTAATTTACTTCAGTTGCAAAACAAAATATATTTCCGCCAAAATACATTCCTTCTTTTGGACATTGACAAAACATTCTTTTGGGGAATATATTGTCCAATATACTCTTAACATCAAATAAATGAAATCCTCCTATTACCTTAACGGAACTGTTGGTTGAATATAGTGTGGCATGAACACCTGATAACCAACTGCCCATTCCTAAAATACAATAGAGCGGCAAAACAATGGAGTGACGTCACAGATGTGTTTGAATACAAGAGACAGTCCTTGGATGCGATCCAGTGCTGGCTATACAAGGTGGAGGTACTCACTACTGACTGTCACGGGTATCTCTGAAGCAAGACACACCGAGGCGATCTACTGTATGTGTTGCTAAACGGATGCGCTGGATCAGGAATGTGCAAAATAGTCATGTGTAAAACTGTTGTGTGACCACCGAACTTAATAATCACAGTTCACAAACACAATCACTAACTCTTCTCCTGACCCAGACGAGTGAAATATGACCAATGCGGTTCGGAACTCAACAGTGTGCAAAAACATTGAAAAGTTCCGTCACATTTCGCAAACATGCCTAATGAAAACTAGGGAGTTTGTAATGACATTTGTTTTCATTCTACGACCCAATTATGTTTACAAAAAACGAAGCCAGGGTTTAGAGGAATACGAGACACCAGAAAGAGTACCTTCAAGTCGTGGAGAAAGCGACCACCACTAAGTACGTTCCGTCGGGCTTGACATAGCTGAACATGACGTTCACAGTTCGGCATACAACGCCACAGCAACTTTCAAGTCTTCTGTTCAGAAGAGTTTACTGACAGGAGATTACCCAGGGTGCCCCACTGCACTACAGGTGCTTGTAGCCATTCACTTCGGCCCACGTTCACATCGGGGAAAATGCGTGATGAACTATGACATATAAATATTACTGGCATTGTGTGTATTTAACTGTTGTGAATTGTTGACGTTTATATGTATAAACGTTTATGCAGTAAGAACGTGGAAGTGTCCTGCCTCTTCACACCAGTACAACTGTCTGACACCACACCACCATTATGACACAAACACAAACCATTAAAGTCATATTAGTTCCATGTTCCCACGAACACAGTTTCCCCTCCCCCAGCGGCATCAACTGCACCCAGCACACCGTCTCCGCCGACCACGTGATGGCAGGTGGGTGATTGATGGCTATGGTTAAACGGCAATTGATTGATCAGGACATTTGGATGATCCCAGCTTCAACTTGGGACTTGTTCACGCGCCAGGGGCAGGGCTGTCGTGCAGCATCAGTTCGGTGGGTGATACAGTCAGTCAAAGATGGCTTCCTTTATTGACATGTTGCATGTTGTAAGGAAAATATATGAAGTATGAATAATCAACGTAAGCGTTGTTTTTGACGTGTTTTAATAATGAAATGATTACTTGGCACCGGTATGTTTAGGTTGAGATGACCACACTTAGCAGGACCGTGTGTCCACCTTGTCTGAGGCACGTGGGGCTATGATTTTCCGCACCTTGTAGCACAATTGACAGAATATGTCACTGGCTTTGTTGTGAGAAATTCATTAAAAACACTACATATCTATAAACAACACAACTTCAAGTTATTGCACGTGTAATGTATGTTTACGTGTCTTATTCTCTCTCTCTCTCTCTCTCTCTCTCTCTCTCTCTCTCTGTCTCCCTCTCTCTCTCACATACAGACACTAACACACACGCTATGCGAGCAGATATATATTTGCAAGTACATAGTTAAATTCTCGTTACGTGACATGTGACATGAGGGACAGGTGTGAAAACGACGAAGATTGAGAAGAGTGTTGTCATGGTGACAGCATATGTTTTCATAATGTTTGTTTCTAAATGTAATGATTATTCCTAAATGGCCGTTTTATATGTTGTCTTTAATATCCAGCTAAACCTGTAGCCAATGTTCGTGGCTGCACTGGTAATAACATTCAGTCACTAGGTGTGACGTCATACTTAAAGCATCACTTGGTACGGGCTACATCCAGGTAGTTATAGGTTTCGCTCCGTCTATCTTCCTCCAAGGACAAAATATACACACATCCGATATCTCCAAGCTATTAAATAATAAAACTAAAAACCTCATGCTTCCGTCTTCTGATGTGCTTACAAGTGCCAATGAAATTGATCAGGTAATTAATGACTTCGGGCCGACGTCAATCACATGTTTTACGATAGCTCCGGGGCATGACTGGGGTGTGTGGAGCTGTGTAGGAGGCGCGACGCTAGATCTCACGGTGTCGCCTGTACCTTGGCACGATGCTACTTACAGTAACTCAACAGTAACCAACAGTCATTCTACGATACCGCGACAGTAACTCTACAGTAGCTGAGGAGTAATTCTACAGTAACTCTTCACTAGCTGAGGAGTAATTCTACAGTAGTTCTACAGTAACTCTACAGTAACAGTGCAGTAGTTTAGGATCCTGTTACACTGACAGAGGAGAGAAGGTGAGTTCCGATTGTCGTTCTGTTTTTCCAAACAGGTCATGAGAGCAGAACGATTCAACGTCAGTAACTCATTGTGGCAACATGTCGGGATCAGGTGTACAGTTGTACAAATGTAATATATAGTGGTAACCTGTATGGTAAACGTACGAATAACAATAATGTTGTTAAAGGCGCATTTCACTTGCCGTTGTTGCCGCAGCAGTTATACTCCCGTGGTCGGGTACTCGGTGTCGTTTTAGTGACTATGTCACACAACGTCAGTCGCCAGTAGTGCGGCGGAGGCGTCTGTAACGTAACTGCCACCTGCCACTCCGGATGGATAACTCGTTATTACACATTCTGTTTTTTGTTCTTTCTGTCTGCATAGATCTCTAGCTGTTTATTCATGTTGTTGTGTGTGTTCACCACAGACCAGCCCAAGCTGGGTGTAACTAGGAAGTGGAGGACGACGTTACGTGAGTCAATCAAAGCCCCGCAGGCACAGCCGCCATCTTGTTTTGTGTCGTCTGACAACAGCACGTGTCACGTGCTGCGTTCATCACACCAGCAGACGACGGTATATTTTCGGAAAATCTCAGCTGGAAGGAACGTGTTAACGGATTACCTTTCGTGAAAATGTGTTGCTGTTGTTGTTCTTGGTGTTGTTCTGAAATGGATTACTTCTGACGTACAGTCGAAGACGCAACCTCGGTGTTTGAAATCTCTGTGGACAGGAAACAAACATCTTACGATCTGTGTTACTAATCAGTCGACATGGGCACTCCATTCGATTTCGCCAATGCCCTGGGACCTATGAACGGCAGTACCCTGTCTCCCACTGTATCTGGTCCTGTGTTCAACTTGACCTCCACTCCACCCATTCTACAGAACATGTCACAGATCACGGCGCCGTCCGTCGTTGCAACCCCGCAACCTCCATACACCACTGTAGATGCAGTGACGTCCTGGGGTGAGTACACACTCACGTGGAAACTGAGTCTTAGTAAACAGGGAGCATGGATTTCTTTCACATTGTGATAGATGTGTATCGCCTTCAGAGAAAAACACTTTCTGTTTATTCCAAATTTAAATTTGTGGGAAGTTAAAGTCAGTACTGACAGGTGAAATCCTATGGGGACAAAGCTATTATGTTAAGTTATGCTAGTTACACGTATGGTCTAATATGGGTTATAAGCATTTGACTACAACGATAGATGTACTCTTAAGGATATAGCGTCTCGACCGAGGCTGATATCCCTTGTACATCAGTCTGAGGTTAACTGAAGCTGTATGCTTTTTGACATTTAGTCATATTTCTTCCTCAACAACAACTTGGGAGGAGGTATCGAACCTAACAATGACTTGCTTCCTCGTTGGCAGGCAACATTGTCCAGTGTCCGCAGATCGGCGTCAAGTCCGGCTGGTACGACGAGAAGCTGTCTGCCAGTTCACAGAGTCGTGACGTAGGCACCATCGTCAACATCTCGTGTAAAGACGGCTCCAAACTGCGCGGGCCCTCTGTGCTACGCTGTCGGGAGAATGGAGTATGGAATGGCACGCAGCCGCACTGTGAAGGTTTGTTGATTCATGTACACTGGCTGTCGTTAAAGGGTATAATATCAATATCCGTTGGTTTGGGATTGTGTGGTTTTGATAGCACTTGTTTAAAGAAATTGTATGAAACGATAGGTCAAAGACGAACTACGATATGTCGCACCATAAAACCCCATTAAGTCGAATTGATAGGTGCGTGTAAAATATTTGGAATTTTGTCGATAATTACACCATATAGTCTATAGTTACATCGCCAAAAGCTATGTCCATGTGATAGCCAAGTTAACAGAGTTGAGTGTATGGGAGTTTCACGGCATATACGTCCACTGCCGACCCGTGAAGACCCGGGGTAGAATAAGTCTTCAGCAACCCATGCGTGCCGTAAAAAGGCGACTATGCTTGTCGTAAGAGGCGACTAACGGGATCGCTTGATCAGGGTCGCGGGGGTGGTTGGGTGTTTATCGTACAATAAAACAGTGAAGGGAGATATTCATGGAGGTTTGTTTATTGTTCTTTGCCATTTATCGGAGGTATTATATATATTGCAATATAAGATAGCTACGTGATAAATCCCAACGAACAATGAAGAACGTTTAATGCCTCTGCAGTGTTTTATTGTACGATAAACAACACCCACACGTCGTTTATGTCTTAAATATAATAGTAAGTACGTGATTATGGAGAATATGAACGGAATAAATCTGAGTATATTTATTTAACTATTTAAGATGTATGTATAGATGTCGTGTTCATTCAGAGGTGAGGTGAAATGGGGTTTAACGTCGCGTCCAAGATTATTGCACTTATATAGCGACGTGCATGTACGTGTGTGTGTTTGCGTGGCTGCTTGTACTAGTCCGGACTGATGCCGATTTATAGTGCTAGCTCACTGAGAAACCATGCCGCAGTTTAACATGAATACCCCACTCAGACACAGTATACTGACTCAGAGCCGACCAGTCTTGTTTTAGCCACTTTATGCCGAGCGCCAGACAGGGTAACAACAAGTACTATCTTTTAACGTCTTTTGGCCGGGGATCGAACCCCGGACCTTCCGCTCTCCGGGCGGACGCTCTACCTCTAGACCACGGAGGCGGTCCTGTGTTCATTCAGATGTGATGGACGGATGACAGAGATAACACTAGGTACCGAGGATCTGAAACCTCTGTATAAAACACCTAGATAACATTAGACACCTAGGGTTTGATACCTCTGTATAAAACACCTAGATAACATTAGACACCTAGGGTTTGATACCTCTGTATGAAACACCTAGATAACGCTAGACACCTAGGGTTTGGTACCTCTGTATAAAACACCTAGATAACACTAGACACCTAGGGTTTGGTACCTCTGTATAAAACACCTAGATAACACTAGACACCTAGGGTTTGGTACCTATGTATAAAACACCTAGATAACACTTGACACCTAGGGTTTGGTACCTCTGTATAAAACACCTAGATAACACTAGACACCTAGGGTTTAGAACCTCTGTATAAAACACGTAGATAACACTAGACACCTGGGGTTTGGTACCTCTGTATAGAACACCTAGATAACACTAGACACCTAGGGTTTGGTACCTCTGTATAGAACACCTAGATAACACTAGGTACCGAGGATCTGAAACCTCCCTATAGAACACCTAGATAACACTAGACACCTAGGGTTTGGTACTTCTGTATAAAACACCTAGATAACACCAGGTACCGAGGATCTGAAACCTCCCTATAGAACATCTAGATAACACTAGACACCTAGGGTTTGGTACCTCTGTATAAAACACCTAGATAACACTAGACACCTAGGGTTTGGTACCTATGTATAAAACACCAATATAACACTAGACACCTAGAGTTTGGTACCTCTGTATAAAACACCTAGATAACACTAGACACCTAGGGTTTGGTACCTATGTATAAAACACCTAGATAACACTTGACACCTAGGGTTTGGTACCTCTGTATAAAACACCTAGATAACACTAGACACCTAGGGTTTAGAACCTCTGTATAAAACACGTAGATAACACTAGACACCTGGGGTTTGGTACCTCTGTATAGAACACCTAGATAACACTAGACACCTAGGGTTTGGTACCTCTGTATAGAACACCTAGATAACACTAGGTACCGAGGATCTGAAACCTCCCTATAGAACACCTAGATAACACTAGACACCTAGGGTTTGGTACTTCTGTATAAAACACCTAGATAACACCAGGTACCGAGGATCTGAAACCTCCCTATAGAACATCTAGATAACACTAGACACCTAGGGTTTGGTACCTCTGTATAAAACACCTAGATAACACTAGTAACGAGGATCTGAAACCTATGTATAGAACACCTAGATAACACTAGTAATGAGGATGTGAAACCTATGTATAGAACACCTAGATAACACTAGTAACGAGGATCTGAAACCTATGTATAGAACACCTAGATAACACTAGTAATGAGGATGTGAAACCTATGTATAGAACACCTAGATAACACTAGTAACGAGGATGTGAAACCTATGTATTGAACACCTAGATAACACTAGTAATGAGGATCTGAAACCTATGTATAGAACACCTAGATAACACTAGTAATGAGGATCTGAAACCTATGTATAGAACACCTAGATAACACTAGTAACGAGGATCTGAAACCTATGTATAGAACACCTAGATAACACTAGTAATGAGGATCTGAAACCTATGTATAGAACACCTAGATAACACTAGTAATGAGGATCTGAAACCTATGTATAGAACACCTAGATAACACTAGTAATGAGGATCTGAAACCTATGTATTGAACACCTAGATAACACTAGTAACGAGGATCTGAAACCTATGTATTGAACACCTAGATAACACTAGACACCTTGGATTTGGTACCTCAATATTGACACCTAGATAACTCTAGGTGCCTTGGATTTGGTACCTCAATATTTAACACCCAGATATAACAGGATACCTTGGATTTGGTACCTCTTTATAGACCACCTAGATAACATCAACGGCAGTCGTATCAACTGGTCAGTCCCCCGGTGGATATTCCCGTTATGATATCCGTGATTTGTACTTATGTATACGTGCTTCTTGTGTACCTCTGAGTCTACCCGTCCATCATGTGGGGTCTTGTCCAAAACGAAATGTTATATAATATTTCCTAGCACCCAGCCACTGTTCCTTCAACTTACACAGGCACTATCAAAGTGGGCCTGCCGATGTCCAAGTGGTTAGTCATCGCGGTATTGTCAGGCTGCAGCGCGCTCATCATCATGGTCGTCACCATTCTCCTCTGCAAGTTCGTCTGTTGTTCCAAGTCCAGGAAGACCGAGGACGGGTAAGTACCGCCACAGTTAGGCAGTAAGTCATCTGTCATTGGACCGCCACAGTGAGGCAGTAAGTCATCTGTCATTAGACTGCCACAGTGAGGCAGTAAGTCATCTGTCATTAGACCGCCACAGTGAGGCAGTAAGTCATCTGTCATTAGACCGCCACAGTTAAGGCAGTAAGTCATTAGACCACCACAGTGACGCAGTAAGTCATTAGACCACCACAGTGAGGCATTAAATCATTAGTTCATCACAGTGAGGCAGTAAGTCATTACACCATCACAGTGAGTCAGTAAGTCATTAGACCACCACAGTGACGCAGTAAGTCATTAGACCACCACAGTTAGGCAGTAAGGCATTAGTTCATCACAGTGAGGATGTAAGACATTAGACCATCACAGTGAGGCAGTAAGTCATTAGACCAGCACAGTGACGCAGTAAGTCATCTGTCATTAGACCGCCACAGTTAGGCAGTAAGTCATCTGTCATTAGACCGCCACAGTGAGGCAGTAAGTCATTAGTTCATCACAGTGAGGCAGTAAGTCATTAGACCATCACAGTGAGGCAGTAAGTCATCTGTCATTAGACCGCCACAGTGAGGCAGTAAGTCATCTGTCATTAGACCGCCACAGTGAGGCAGTAAGGCATTAGTTCATCACAGTGAGGCAGTAAGTCATTAGACCGCCACAGTGAGGCAGTAAGTCATTATACCATCTTAGTGACGCAGTAAGTCATTAGACCATCACCGTGAGGCAGGAAGTCATCTGTCTTTAGACCACCACAGTGAGGCAGTAGGTCATCTGTCATTAGACCGCCACAGTGAGGCAGTAAGTCATCTGTCATTAGACCGCCACAGTGAGGCAGTAAGTCATCTGTCATTAGACCGCCACAGTTAAGGCAGTAAGTGATTAGACCACCACAGTCAGGCAGTAAGTCATCTGTCATTAGACCGCCACAGTGATGCAGTAAGTCATCTGTCATTAGACCGCCACAGTTAAGGCAGTAAGTCATTAAACCACCACAGTTAAGGCAGTAAACCACTGGACCAGCACAGTGACGTAGTAAGTCAATGGATCACCACAGTGAGGCAGTAAGTCATCTGTCATTAGACCACCACAGTGACGCAGTAAGGCATTAGACCACCACAGTGAGGCAGTAAGGTATTAGTTCATCACAGTGTGACAGTAAGTTATTATACCAACACAGTGAGGCAGTAAGTCATTAGACCACCACAGGTAGGCAGTAATTAGTCGTTAGACCACCACAGTTAGGCAGTAAGTCATTAGAACATCACAGTGAGGCAGTAAGTCAATAGGTACCACAGTGACGCAGTAAGTTATTAGACCACCACAGTTAGACAGTAAGTCATTAGACCACCACAGTTGGGCAGTAAGTCATTAGACCAACACAGAGACGTAGTAAGTCAATAGACCACCACAGTGAGGCAGTAAGTCATCTGTCATTAGACCACCACAGTGATGCAGTAAGTCATTAGACCACCACAGTGAGGCAGTAAGTCATTAGTTCATCACAGTGAGGCAGTAAGTCATTAGACCACCACAGTGAGGCAGTAAGTCATTAGACCACCACAGTGACGCAGTAAGTCATTAGACCACCACAGTGAGACAGGAAGTCATTAGTTCATCACAGTGAGGCAGTAAGTCATTACACCATCACAGTGAGGCAGTAAGTCATTAGACCAGCACAGTGACGCAGTAAGGCATTAGACCACCACAGTGAGGCAGTAAGGCATTAGTTCATCACAGTGAGGCAGTAAGGCATTAGTTCATCACAGTGAGGCAGTAAGTCATTAGACCACCACAGTTGGGCAGTAAGTCATTAGACCACCACAGTTAGGCAGTAAGTCATTAGACCACCACAGTTGGGCAGTAAGTCATTAGACCACCACAGTTAAGCAGTAAGTCATTAGACCACCACAGTTAAGCAGTAAGTCATTAGACCACCACAGTTGGGCAGTCAGCATCGACACTTGAACTGTATTTGGATCGAGAGAGGTTACATACGCTGTCATTGTTTCGGCTATGTCTATATGAGCTATGTGTATTGCAGCTATATCTCAGTCTGGAAGTATGAGTCTGGAATAGTCAAACCAGTGGTCGATACTATGAACATCGTCTGTACCAAACGCCTAATAAACGTCCACTTCAAGATTGTAACCCGTGGTGATTCGACGAGGGATAGGTCCCCAGTACTCCTTCGTGTAACCCCCATTTCGATGCTGAGGCAGAGAAGACAGCCGGTCCCCTGTGTTTCACCTAGCTGGGAGTCGGTCAAAATAAGGACCATGGTTGGTTAACTCACTGAATGTGGATTGTTGTACGCGTCGTACGAAACTGAGCAACGTATATGTCTGTTTTTAAGTGTATCTCACGTACAACAACTTTACTGGTGAGCAATAGAGAATGTCATGTGTGTGAAGAATTGCCCTTGAAGCTCCTGATTCCCAACATCTCCAGGTCATCATCCGGCGTCACGGCGGACACAACTGACCACGAGTCGATCAGCCCATACTACTCCGTGAACATCCTCAACAGAACACGGTCAGATGCAACCAGTGACCATTACGCAAAACCAGAGGTCTACAGTTCTTTCGTCAATCCTGGCTTCTACGAGGATGTGTATGCAAGATGGCGGAGTCGGGAAGAGCTTACGGAACGGGTGTACGACTCTCCTTGGCTGATCAAGTGAGTGGGGAGGAGTGAGTGTGTGTGTGTGTGGGGGGGGGGGGGGGGCGTTTGTTGGGATTGGATTAAGGTTACGGATGGGAAGAAACAGGAGTGAAGGAAGCTTACAGTTGCGTTGCAAACCACCTGTGATATATTCTTACTTTGCTTTTCTTTCACATGAACGTCGTTTTGTTATGATTTTAAACTGTGTTCATTTAAGCCGGCGGTTACAAGACCAATGCCAGAACCAGGAGATGAGGTGGAGCACGATGAGCCTACAGGCCCACGACCACTACGACTATGGCAGGTGAGGGCTAGACACACTGTGTGGCAGCGTGTAGACGTCACTTAGAAGGGTTTGCCCAACAACTGAAGCAACAGTTTGAATTGACACTACAGGGTTCACGGGGTCTCCAAATAGTCGACAACAATGAATCTTCGGACTGCTAACAATTGTGTAACAATCAGTTAGGATAATAAGTGGCAAAATCTTATCATTCTGTGCTAAGTATATATACGTTGCAAACTCCGCCAGTCGTGTTCTTGATCCTATGTGCACGCGTCCAGATGAACAAGGATCCACTTTATGTCAGGAACAGCCAGGAAGAGATCCATACGTACTACCTGGACATTATCAGGACAGTATCAAAACATATAAAACAAAACTGAAGAAAAGAAAAACTATTGAAGCCTTTGTTAAAGTGTAGTAAACATCATTCTGTGCCACTAAACATCTGATACGTTCTGCCAGCTGATGTGAGCAATGTCAATGTAGCCACTAAGATATGAACACGATGGTTCACGTGCAGTTTTCGGGTGAATTAAGGATTTTGGATTTACAGTGTATTATTTCAGGAGACATTATTACCGTAAATCTAGCGGTATAACATTTAAGAAAGTTTACCCGAACTGGCATGTTAATTGTAATATTCACGTCCGCCAAGGGCACGTAGCTAGTGCATGCATTGTTATTCATTTCAAGGTTTGTTGTATTTTCAGATTTGGAAAAATTCCCCGGTCACAGGTGACGGATCAAGAGATTCAAGATTCGGAACAACTAACGACATTTTAAAGCCAAACTGACTTGTGTTGTTTTGTATATTAAATGTATATAGAAATTTGAATGGGAAATAAATCTCTTTCTTAACTCACAAACTGGTGCTATGAGATCGCGAGGTTTTGTCTATCTGGCATCTCCACGAGAGCTAACTGACTTGACAACTTTCACAAAGCATTGACACTAAACGGACAAAAAAATGGAAACTGCCTCGGCATTAAATGGACAATAAATTCACAACACGTGCAAACTGACTTGACAATACGTGCAAACTGACCTGATAAAACTTGGTAACTAACTTAAGATAACATGGTAACTAATTTGTCAAGCCGTGGAAAATGTCAGGACATGCCATGGAAACCGACTTGAAGTAACGTGGAAACTGAACATTGAACATCCGACTTTATCGTTATTGGCTGTCTGCACTGGGACATTGACTTGATAGAACATGGACACTAGCTTGACAGACAACAAGAACATTTGTCTGTATCGTTGTCTGGTGGTCTACATTGGCTTGACAGACAACAAAAACATTTGTCTGTATCGTTGTCTGGTGGTCTACATTGGCTTGATAGACAACAAGAACATTTGTCTGAATCGTTGCCTCGTAGTTTACACTGGCTTGACAGACAACAAGAACATTTGTCTGTATCGTGGTCTGGTAGTCTACACTGGCTTGACAGACAACGAGAACATCTATCTGTATCGTTGTTAAGTAGTCTACACTGGATTGACAAACAACAAGAACATCTGTCTGTATCGTTATCTGGTAGTCTACACTAGCTTGACAGACAACGAGGCATGTGTCTGTATCGTTGTTAGGTACTCTACACTGGCTTGACAGACAACAAAAATATCTGTGTGTATCGTTGTTAGGTAGTCTACACTGGCTTGACAGACAACAAGAACATCTGTCTGTATCGTGTTCTGGTAGTCTACACTGGCTTGACAGACAACGCGAACATTTATCTGTATCACTCTCTGGTAGTCTACTCTGGCTTGACAGACAACAAGAACATCTGTCTGTATCATTGTCTGGTGGTCTATACTGGCTTGACAGATAACAAGAAAATTTGTCTGTATCGTTGTCTGGTAGTCTACACTTCCTTGACAAACAACAAGAACATCTGTATCGTTGTCTAGTAGTCTACACTGGCTTGACAGACAACAAGAACATCTATCTGTATCGTTGTTGGGTAGTCTACACTGGCTTGACAGACAACAAGAACATATGTCTGTATCGTTGGCAGGAAGTCTACACTGGGTTGACAAACAACAAGAATATCTCTCTGTATCGTTGTTAGGTAGTCTACACTGGCTTGACAGACAACAAGAACATCTGTCTGTATTCTTGCCTGGTGGTCTATACTGGCTTGACAGACAACGAGAACATCTGTCTGTATCGTTGTTAGGTACTCTACACTGGCTTGACAGACAATAAAAACATCCGTCTGTATTGTTGTTGGGTAGTCTACACTGGCTTGACAGACAACAAGAACATCTCTCTGTATTGTTGTTGGGTAGTCTACACTGGGTTGACAAACAACAAGAATATCTCTCTGTATCGTTGTTAGGTAGTCTACACTGGCTTGACAGACAACAAGAACATCTGTCTGTATTCTTGCCTGGTGGTCTACACTGGCTTGACAGACAACAAGAACATCTCTCTGTATCGTTGTTAGGTACTCTACACTGGCTTGACAGACAACAAGAACATCTGTCTGTATCCTTGCCTGGTGGTCTATACTGGCTTGACAGACAACGAGAACATCTGTCTGCATCGTTGCTAGGTACTCTACACTGGCTTGACAGACAACAAAAACATCTGTCTGTATTGTTGTTGGGTAGTCTACACTGGGTTGACAGACAACAAGAACATCTGTCTGTATCGTTGTGAGGTAGTCTACACTGGCTAGACACACAACAAGAACATCTGTCTGTATCGTTGTTGGGTAGTCTACACTGGCTTGACAGACAACAAGAACATCTGTCTGTATCGTTGGCAGGTAGTCTACACTGGATTTCCGACAACAAGAACATCTGTCTGTATCGTTGGCAGGTAGTCTACACTGGATTTCCGACAACAAGAACATCTGTCTGTATCGTTGGCAGGTAGTCTACACTGGATTTCCGACAACAAGAACATCTGTCTGTATCGTTGGCAGGTAGTCTACACTGGATTTCCGATAACAAGAACATCTGTCTGTATCGTTGGCAGGTAGTCTACACTGGATTTCCGACAACAAGAACATCTGTCTGTATCGTTGGCAGGTAGTCTACACTGGATTTCCGATAACAAGAACATCTGTCTGTATCGTTGGCAGGTAGTCTACACTGGATTTCCGATAACAAGAACATCTGTCTGTATCGTTGGCAGGTAGTCTACACTGGATTTCCGACAACAAGAACATCTGTCTGTATCGTTGGCAGGTAGTCTACACTGGATTTCCGACAACAAGAACATCTGTCTGTATCGTTGGCAGGTAGTCTACACTGGATTTCCGACAACAAGAACATCTGTCTGTATCGTTGGCAGGTAGTCTACACTGGATTTCCGACAACAAGAACATCTGTCTGTATCGTTGGCAGGTAGTCTACACTGGATTTCCGACAACAAGAACATCTGTCTGTATCGTTGGCAGGTAGTCTACACTGGATTTCCGACAACAAGAACATCTGTCTGTATCGTTGGCAGGTAGTCTACACTGGATTTCCGACAACAAGAACGTTTGTCTGAATACCGTGAGCAGCCTGCGACCAAATGAGATTGCTTCTCTAAAATTATTCAAAATGCTGTCGAAGTGGGTGCCACAACATGGGTCAAAGAGAACTGTAAACTGTTGCATGTTTTTTTCAGGTCGAGTTAAGTCAGTGCGTGATGTTGTCATTGGTAGAATGCACAGACTCGCAGACACACACACAGACACACACACAGACACACACACACATACATACGCACACAATATTCTATAAATGCATCTGCAGCTGGTTGTCTGTTTAGCTGAATGAACCTGTGTAACTGCATATGGTTCAGAATGACCGGACAATTTGGGATGAGGCGACACAGTAGGACTGTTTCCCCTCAACAATACAAGTTACATATCACAAAACTGCAATGTTAGAAATCATATTCTTCTCAAAACAATTCCGACGAGCACCGAAGAGCAGCACGTGCCATTGGACATGAGAGTGTATTAGTGGTCTCAGGTCCAGGCTCCAAGTTGACGAAACGTTTCGTGTTCACATGCGTGATCTTTCGTAAACATGAAACACATGATGTCAGGCCGCCGCACCTTACTTTAAAGAGAAGTGGCATCGCAGTGCCCTTGTCATAGGTCGTTTTCAGCTAGCATCATCGCCTGCTGGATGGGGAGGTAGACAACAGATGAGTGTCCTTCAAATATTCATGCGTTGTTCGCCAGCCGACGTCTCTCCGCCATCACATTTAGAGCTTGATGTTCGCTAAGTGTAGGGATAAACCTACTTCAGGGTGGAGCACGTTATGCATTGCTGACGGGCCGTTTTGTGACGAGCACTTTCACAAGTGTTAAGAGATGACCAATTTGGGTTATTAAGGTAATAATGAATATAACCCACCCGACTGTCACAATTGTGGATTCTATGTCCCGTGTAGGCATTCCTTGACATCCCGTAGTTCGACTGTTTCGATCCACTGCTCATTGGTTCATGTCCACGATTCTTAATTGGTTTGTCGCTCAAAACCATCGTTGGTTTCATTGAAGTGGGCAATCCTTGACCGGCACCACTTCGGGCTTCCTCCCATATCGAGCAGAATCGCATGGATAGAAGAGAAATACTGTTCAAAACGGCGTTAGGCCAAACTCCCTCAACAGATACTCGTCTCCACCACACGCTTCAGTTGTATTGATGCCCCGCTGCACCGATGATGGCAACTGGCTGAAGCAGTCGTAGAATCTCAATATACACACACCCTTATCCATCTTCACGTCGCTGATAGATAGATAACTAACACACCTTCCTTGAATTCAATGAAACCAGCCTGACATGTTTACCCAAATGCAACAGTTCAGCAAAGACAAATAGAATCGGTCAAACAACTGGCATGGATGGAGTTAGGGAAAGATCAATGAAGAACAATGAACAAACAGTAAATATGAAAAGCGCTGCCGTCATCGGCGAATGAGTCGTGTCACACGAGGGGCTCAGAGGCAAGTTCACACAGTCAGCAGCGAGTGGGTCATGTCACACAAGGGGCTCAGAGGCAAGTTCACACAGTTAGCAGCGAGTGGGTCATGTCACACGAGGGACTCTGAGTTCACAGTAAGCAGCGAGTGGGTCATGTCACACGAGGGGCTCAGAAGCAAGTTCACGCGCTCAGCAGCGAGTGGGTCATGTCACACGAGGGACTCAGAGGCAAGTTCACACAGTCAGCAGCGAGTGGGTCATGTCACACGAGGGACTCAGAGGCAAGTTCACACAGTCAGCAGCGAGTGGGTCATGTCACACGAGGGACTCAGAGGCAAGTTCACACAGTCAGCAGCGAGTGGGTCATGTCACACAAGGGGCTCAGAGGCACGTTCACACAGTCAGCAGCGAGTGGGTCATGTCACACGAGGGACTCAGAGGCAAGTTCACACAGTCAGCAGCGAGTGGGTCATGTCACACGAGGGACTCAGAGGCAAGTTCACACAGTCAGCAGCGAGTGGGTCATGTCACACAAGGGGCTCAGAGGCAAGTTCACACAGTCAGCAGCGAGTGGGTCATGTAACACGAGGGACTCAGAGGCACGTTCACACAGTCAGCAGCGAGTGGGTCATGTCACACGAGGGACTCAGAGGCAAGTTCACACAGTCAGCAGCGAGTGGGTCATGTCACACAAGGGGCTCAGAGGCAAGTTCACACAGTCAGCAGCGAGTGGGTCATGCCACACGAGGGACTCAGAGGCACGTTCACACAGTCAGCAGCGAGTGGGTCATGTCACACAAGGGACTCAGAGGCACGTTCACACAGTCAGCAGCGAGTGGGTCATGTCACACGAGGGACTCAGAGGCAAGTTCACACAGTCAGCAGCGAGTGGGTCATGTCACACGAGGGACTCAGAGGCAAGTTCAC